AGGATATTTTTTTAAGACTATGTGGTTCAATATATAGGCTAATTAATCTTAGAAAAATAACACCGAAAACGTTAAATCTTATAATTATTCTTGTTAATTTTAAATACGTGTATTCTACTATTGTTAATTTTAATTGTAAGTTTTAATTAATAAAAGATGGCGTTTTGATAACTATTATATATATTTGTTATTTGATTAACATCAATAGACTGCGTCTGCAAACTACTAGTTGAATAATAAGTAATTAGTAATTATTATTTTGTTTTTCCATTCAAGAAAACTTTCACAGTCATGTGGTGTTCTTAGCAAAATATTCTAATTAATGACTTAATGAGTCAGAGCTTTCGAAACATACAAAACCGCAGATTTCTCACGTTTATGTGACGCATCATAACTGTGGGCTTTTATTGTACGATAAATATCAACTCGAACCGTAAACATATCGTTTGCGACCGTGTTACGTAAATATTGTGCAAATGCTGTTAATGTTTTGCGGAATTCCGACAGTCTATTAGGACAACGGTGTCCCAAATAACATGTCATAAACTAAAAAACTGACAGTCAAATAATTTAAAAATATATATTAAATTTAATTTGAACTTGAATGAAACTTACTCTTACTATTTTTACTACTACTATAATACTTTTATTCTGGATAAAAAAAAATATTCTAAGTAATATGTTCTCAATAATACATGAACATATGATATAACATGCTATATTTAAATGACATGTAAGTAAATATATAATTTTTAATTTTGTCCGAGGAATACTTTGTATATATACAAATAATACAAAGTGGTATGCGTGGACACCTGTGTCTAACGTATTTCAGCCATTAAGCAAGCTTTATAAGCTGTGTTTTAGCAGTGAGATATGGCAGTGAAAAAACAGAATACGGTGGCATATGACTTCTTTTGTTTTGCCATTTTGGAGAACTAAGATACCTTAGTAAATTTGGTCCATTCCTATAAATAATAATTAAAATATCTATATGGTCAAACTTAAAGTAATTAAAAAAACTTGTTAAGTGATTGTATAGATTTTATTTGTAAAAAATACACTTTAGTCTAACTTCAATGTTGTTTATAGGATTCCTTACGTTCGCTACTCAAGCCATTCTCCTTATTTGAAACAAAAGGTGAAATAATATTATTTATTAAGTACCAAATGCATTCCAATAATATAGAATTATAAAGTTGATTACAAATCCTAGTAAAGTACACTGACTAACTACATTTTGACGTCACAGTTACTATAATATCTACGTCATTTTCACATCAAAATCATCGGTAAAAATTCAGGTAATTCTGGTGACCTGGGTTTTTTTCTAACACGTCAATAAATCACTGCATGTTACCTGAAAACGGCATACGTGTCAATAGTTCAAGGGAGTGAGTTGTTGTTCTGACTCACTCATTGAATACATTTTGAAGAATGTCTATAAGATATGGGGTCTGTGGTCCAATGACTCATGCGAAGATCCGCGTGGACTGATTTAAATAAGCTATATAAGTAATAGAAAATTCAACATCTATTTAGTTTATTAGTAGATCTTCTGTTGTGTACTTTAGTGCATATTCAATGAAAAGATATGTTTATTTAAAAAGTTTGTTTAGAAGTAATATTTAGATACGAATGATAAAATGGATACGCCGTTATGTTAATTAGGTAAAGTTATTTTATAATATGTATGTAATTTCATAGATAAAAGTGTGATGTTATCTTAAATAAACGTAGTTTTATTATTAATTAGTACAATATAATCTGAAAATCCGGATTTTGATAATATTCCAATGTACAGACCATGGCAATTTTTACACGCATGTACTTCAGTTGCATTGCACTGTTCTTTTCTAATTTTGGAAGTCTATATAATTTAGTAAATATCTATAAATTATATATAATATTATAAGTTTTTATTATTTGGAAAGAATGCTTACTTTAAATTAAGAATAATCCACCTCCGCTTTGATCAATTTGATGTCTTTACAGCCGTGCTTAGACATATTAAATGTGTCTTTATATTATACATAGGTACTCGTATAATATGTAATCTTTCATTTTCCGAGTAGCTATAAAACTCATGCGAATGCTTTTGTGGTTTGGATCAAATGTTTTCCGAGTCTAGTAATAATATTAGAGAAATACAATAGCACGGTATAAAATTTATTTCGTGATGTGTTTTTAGTGATTTATGATAAAAAACGTTATGTATCAAAGTAAAGATTTATATCAATATTATTCAGAGTTGTGATAACAACATAAATAAAAGTATCAGCTGTATTGATTTCGGAAACTATTTTACAAAGATTTATGTCTAGTTTTAACTAGTTTTGTTAGGACCAGACACTTGATCTAATCATTTGACATTTCATTTAAGAATCAACTAACGCTACCTTTGATGTTGGAATTCGGTTTTAAAGAGGTCTCGTAAATGTAGTAAACGGCTTATCACTGGGATTTAACTGGTATTCTTTGAGTACAAAGCCGAGATTTGTACGTATATGGTAATGTCAAGAACACTTTTTGCGATTTCGGGTGCGTCTCATCTGTCGTGATGTTTAAATAAAGATATCGTAAACTAAGAGTTTGGCATGTTTTTTTAATAGTGTAAAAAGGCAAAAGGCATTATGATGTAAAGACTAAAAGTTTTAAGATAATACTATGCATGTATAATACGGTTTACGTGCAAGTGTATTTTTTTTTATTTAGCATAAGTACCTAGTTTGGTATCTGTGATCTAGGTACTCGAGTATTATTACGCGCGAATTAACGATATGGTGTGCTTATTGTGTCTATTATATTTTGTACAAATTTCTTGACTTGAGTATATTATTATGATCAGTCATGTGGTGCAACTATGCTTATCGAACTCATATTCGTTTTTGTTTTAAATATTATGGCCGTGACGGACATTGTGATAGTTTGAATGGAGTTACGCAGCTATAAAACGAGCCGTAAGTGCCGCTTCACGGTTGTTTCAAAGAATTCAAAGTTTATAGCTTTGGCGAGCGAAATTTGAATAATATTTGAAAATAAAAAGAAGTTAAAATTAATATTTAGGATGATAGAAATTTCATGAAACTTTGAGATTAAATATTTTACTGCTTATATATGAATGGCATCGTAGATTTATTCACTTCTGGAAAAGCTATCTACATTATTATTAGGTTTGTCTATAACTTTATCTATGATTATTACGTAATAATTGTAGTCAATTTTTATTGTAACTTGACATTTAAAAATATGTTTTGGATTTTCGATAGTCTTAGAAGAAGACGTTAGAACTTTTAAAAATGTATATACGATATTTTTTTTATTTTTTTGTTGCTTTTTTCTAAATACCTGATTGTGCGTTTCCTAGAAAGTGGTAATGGAGTACTTGCCCCGAGGTCGCGGTAATGACAGAAGCCGAAAATCATCATAAATTACTGACAGTACCGGTACCCAAATAAGTGGGGGTCGGGTATTTCGTGAGTGAAAACCACGGTAGCGCCGCAAGCCACCGGCTGGGTTCCCACCGACAGAACTGCTAATAGAGTAATAAGTCTTATATTTTAAGTGACATTTGACTGAAACATATTACATATTTAATATTCGGAACTAAAACTGTAGAACTTCAAAAATAGGATTTGTTTCTATGTCCATGTTACTATACTAATTTATTCAGATTAAAATCGGTTCTTTAAAGGAACTTATTCTTCTGTATCTATAACAATTGTCTCTATTCGAAAAATCTTAACAAAGATATTAACGAATCTATAGTTATAACAACTAGAATCGGACAAAATTTGAAATTAAAATTGGATATAAATCATGTTATGTAGAAAATTCTCAATAAATGGTAGTCCGGTGAATATTCAACATAAAAAAATATTGGTGATGATTATGATAGTGCAAACAAACATGACATATGACGTGTTTGCATCATGGACATGTTGCAATCTAAAAAAAAATATTTATGAATTCATAAACATAGCATAAAACACCTATTGCGTCAGTGCATCATTTTCCTTTACAGCCATCAGCTTACTGTGGCGCTACCTGTTCATTCACTCGTGCGCACGTGGTGGGGGCTTGCGCCTTCCGTGTAACGTTATCAGTAGTTTCCGCACCCTCTCGCCAGCGCAGTTGCTAAACGCACCCGCTGTTGGTCACACGTTTATTGTTGACACATCTAGTCTCTTTAAGTCTGCATTAATCGTTGACGTTCCATATTCAAATTTTTAGTGTTCCATTTTTAAAATCTAACGCTGGTTACATAAGAACTTTTTTGTTTTTTATGTTCATTGTCATAAATATTATAGTGAAAGTGTTAATAAATACGTTCGTTGAGTAATATCTATATTCTAACTGCCGCTTCAAAGGTGCGTATGTAGTAATTTAAGTAAATATCAATAAATTACTTTATTAATTTATTCTTGAACGGTTATCTATTTAGTAAACATGTTTAGTAAATGATGATATTAATAATCTGCTGATGTTTGTACTAAATGTTCAATATAGATGGTTAATAAGCACTTACAAGTAGGTAGACATATAAAATTACTTTGACTCCCAGGTCAAGTATGGTATGGTTGTCCTTGCTTAATACTTCTTGCATGTTTACTATCAATATACTTACACAGAATATAATTAAAGTCTCTAGATTGACACGTATCATTCACTATAATAAGTTTAATAATATTAACAACTGTTTTTCAACTAACAAAAACATTATCATTTTTTGCGTGCCACTGTCGGTTGGATGAAGTTAAAATTTAAATTAATTTTTATATTGAGCAGAATAAAAATTTGTAATTATAAAAAAAAATGTGTAGGTATTTACTTGGGTTGTGTAGTCATAACACGGCTATGAATACATCCTAGTAAGTACTTATGCATATTTGAATCCTGCCCCAAATTTCAATAGCAACGTAATGTAAACCCTTCGGTTATGCAGTAGAGTCGATTTTTGAACGCATGCAGTTATCTGATAAGCTATCACTCTGATACAGGCGTTCAAGCCCCGCCCGTCGCACGCTTCACATCATAGACCAGACAAAATGTTCGCTGTGATGCAGATCGACGAAGACCACACCAGGGATTTCAGGCGTAAGCTGCGCCCAAAATGCGAGTTCGTCTGCAAATACTGTCAGCGCCGGTTCACGAAGTCCTACAACCTGATGATCCACGAACGCACCCACAAGAGCCCGGAACTGTCGTTCAGTTGCGAGGTGTGTGGGAAAAGCTTCAAGAGGCAGGATAACTTGCGCCAACACAGGTCAGTTCCATTTTCAAATTATTTCTCCGCAACTGGTGTTTTGTTTTTAATTTTAATAATAATTGGTGGTGTTCTTTTTTTAAAACTTATCAAAATTTAAGAAATTAGTCAGTAATAAAAATTATTTAGATATTCGAAATAATTGGAATAATATTTTATAACATCAAAATAAGCGAAGTAGAACGTATATGACGTGTTTTAATGTTTTTTAAAGATACAAAACTGAATATAATTGCCTACAACCAAAGCAGTAGTTACTAGACATATACTACTTTACATGTAATAATATCATGAAATGTCATTATAATGATTCTCCTTAAGTCCAATAGTAATTCCAAATTACATTTTCCAAAATTGATAATAGGCATTTGTAATAAAATAAATGCTCCTTCCTATTAAATACTGCTACTAAATAAATATGAAAACCTGTTGAAAACTTAATTGTGATGTTAAAGGCGCGATTCCTTTCAACCTACATTGTTCGTGGTCAGGTGAGACAAGGCTGCGGCAAATCAGCTCGGTAGGAATTAGGGTCTAGTGGATCACGGGAGCAGTCATCTGTCTCATATTAGACGCTATTCACTAGTAATACCTTAACGGAGTTGAGTAACTGTATGATCACTATCTAGAAGTAGGAGTACGTAAGTATTTATGTAATTTGTTAAATAAAAATATTTTTAAATTAAGAACTAGTAGAAAATAACCAATATTTGAATTTTACGTTCTAAAGCATGGTTTACACTATAAGATTTTTGGCGTTAAAATCGTTTGCAATAATAATTACATACAGAATTTCACGTGTTAACCTCTGATTTTATAATTATTCCAATAATAATTTAATACAATTTTATATATAATATTAATACAAGTTTAAGACAATAGTTTTTTTTTTGACTCAATATTAAAAATGTTGAGTCCAAAAAGTACTGTTGAGCACGTACGATTTCAGACATATTGTAAGATTTCACAAAAAAAAAATATTGGAATATATATTACGTCCAAGAAATTAGTTTCTAGTTTAGGGAATTTAAATAATTTAGACCTAGTAAGAATAAGATTTCACGGAAATACACTGTAATATTGTTACTTATAGTAACAATATTACAGTGTATTTCCGAGTGTATATGAAAATTCCACGGCGACGTAACATAAAGACGAAATCCCCACGGCATTGAGAGAACACGCCGTAAACATTACAGAGATGCGAGCAATTAAAACCGGGACATATTTGTACAATGTTATCGTATCATAAAATAATTTAAATCAGATAATAGCGGCGTGTAAACAAACACAGAAGATTAATTACTGTTGCTTAAAAAAGAGCCGTTTCACACTTCTACTATAACTGTCAATATATCAACATATAAATAAAAAACAATGGCCATATGTGTAAGTTATAATTGAAAAATGACGTCATTTGTGAAAATGTGTTGAAATATAAAATAATAATACAGTACTTATATAAAAATACAGAATTAATACAATGACAGTAAAACGAATGACGAATTTATTTTGTTTCTTTAGGAGAAATTTACAGAATGTAAGTACTTTTGCTGTAACAGTTATGACAACAACATAGAAAATAGTCCTTAAGTACCTACTTATCAAGTCAGACAACGCTGATTCACTATAGTATACGTTATACCTAAATGTGGATAGAATAAAACTTTGCATAGTTTTTTATAAATTAAAATTTCTACAAATAATAATTATGGGACTGAATTGAGCTGTAACGTACTATAAGGACTATGAACTACATTAAATGTTATATAATACCTACTACATTAAATGTCTATCATTAAAAAAACTGAATTTCTTGATCGGTACTTACATCCATTTGAATCCACGGCATACTGCTGTTTGGATATAATTATGAGTTCATTAAACTTCTTAAATCATGAAGGTGCGTTCACACGTCCGCGTGTCAGACGAGATTGTCGTCGACATTCCAGCGGCAGTTTGTCATCCGCAATTAACATACAATGTGGTGGTAGCGAGTTACCGCCGGGGTCGCGACCCTAACTAATGCAAATCTCGTCCGGAACGACGAGACTTACGAAAGTGACACCAAACGAGATGGATGTAGGTGACACGCGTCTGAGAAACCGCAAACTGAACATATGTAGTCTATATAAAATATTAGACAAGTAAAATGAATGTAATAAAAAATATTCAGAAAATGTGAAGAAATTATACCTCGTTGAGTTGAATTGATAAATAATAATCAAACGTATTCTAATCAGTTGTATGTTTGTGAGGTGTGATGTTATAGATTGATATATCAAGGTTTAAATTTTAAAACCATCCTGTTCCAATGTCTATTAAAATATCTATAAATATATTGTTGTATATATATATAATACATAATTTATAGAATTACCAAATAAATAACATGTAAACATAAATAATAGTGTAATTGATGAATTGTTCTATTTAAAGACAGTAAAACAGAACAGTGAAATCGCAACTATACCTACTCGTGAAGACTAATTAATAAGTAGTAATCATATGTACCTTTCTGAAACGTTACAACAAAACACGTTTCAAGAAAAACGGTTTTTAACCTGAGTACACACGGATGCAACAGTTCCGTGTGAATCTTAGTGGAATACGCGATCCCCATCCTGCTACCGCGAGATGGTCGATAGATCGCTCACGCTGCATGCGAGTCGTGAGCTCGTGACGAGCTCGTGTGTTAACGGTGCTTAATGGGCCCTAATGCTTCCGAAACTGTGCGAACGCGGACGGTAGCCCACCAGAGTCTGGCACACGTGACTGCTGCGGTATAATTTGCAGTTTATGCGCCGCCCGTACAAGGAACAACAATGTGCACCACGCTTAACCGTACCGTGATGAAATTACGGCAATTTGTCGGTAGGACCATGTATGCGATGGCCTACCTATTTAGGTTTTACAACTTAGCGGTTACACTGTACGGTCATATTTTAGTAAAGGTTACAGAGGGATCCGTAAATGTCATGTCATAAATTCTGTGCAACAGTTATCCTGATTACACCACTATGTATCGATAAAGTACGAACTGTGATGTCGATATATTTTATTATTTGTATCTAGTCTCTTACTTAGACCGATATGCATTTTTTTTGTAATGTTACCTAGAGTTTCGAACATGGAGTTAATGCTTTCTTCTTTTTTCATTCCGTATTTACCAGTTTAATTTTGAAATGTTCATGATATGATTTAATATCGATTCATATAAGATATAAGAATTCCACGAATATAGTATCTATAGATATTCATATATACACGTACTAAAATTATTTTTCTCCAGTATAATCCTCTTAGATTTATATATTTACAACTATAATTTAGTTGTAGGGGATCTCCTTAACAGTTGTTAAGCAATTTAGTAGCAAAATACTTCATATTTTTTATGTTTCATTTACAATAATAATTTAAATACCCATAATGATATACTTAATAATCGTAATCTTAAAATAATAAATTGTTAGAACATTTTTTTTTACAACTCGCTCAGCAGATTTATTTCAAAGGTACCTTAATAATACTAATATTAATAATAAACGTATCTAATTCACGTGAATCAATTCACGGTATGTGACTATGACATATACAGGTCCATAAGTGGGTACGTACTACGTAAGTACTTACGTTCATGTAAAATATTGCGTGTGAAACGTCGACCCCCTGCATGAGACGTGAATGCCGTCGGCAGTAAGTTCCGCTACCGATTGCTTTACTAAATGTAAGGTTGTTTGATATGACTGTAATGAAAGACCTCTGACATGCATACGGAACTCATTATATACACACATAATATATGAACATACCTATTAATAATTATTGACCTATACAAATGTTGCCGTGACTGACAGTAGGGTTTTTTGTGGGAAATAATCTTATGACTTCAATTTTTTTTACGTGTACTCGGATTTTACTTTAATATTTTTTTATAAATACTTGAAAGAGCTTTAATCACGTCTAAGTAATAATTGAATTAATAGTTATTAGTACTTAATAATAAAATGTATACCGGGGTTTAAAAAAATAAAAAAAGAAAATAAAAGCTTAATAATACAAATGTTATCAAATGTAGAATAGTCAACTGTCGATATCTTCGGCTATACAATTGCCATGAGCAAATTTACAAGTCTTACCGATTCATTTAATTTGTTATCGGTGTTTCAATCAACGAAATCAAGTCATAAATATAAATTGACAAAATGTCGATCACGTAGTATAGAGATTACTAACACCAGCAATACACTTAATTAAGATTCGAAGTAGCATTTAGATTTCGATGTCCCATATAGTTAGCGCAGTGGGTCATCGGTGCATGCGGAGTTTCGCGATCGAGCTTATCCGAACATCGATAGCTCGATTCCCTCTGAGTGCATAGCACATGTGAATCGAGTTGACGTGATATCGATTATATTCTATTCATTGATTATTGTTGTGACATATGCAACATACCAATTAGTGAAGGCACAAGGCAAAAATAAAAACTCACTTTTATATTTTGTGTGAATATAAATTATATTAAGAGTACATAACTCTGTATAGTTACTTTTATATAGCAATATAGATTTTCTATTTGTTCAGAATTGTGTTATTTTTAGATTTAGTAATACTATTTTAAAACAAAACTATTTAAATAAATTTTTATATCGCCAACAGTAAATACATAGTGTATTCGTTAATAGGCATTTCCGTAAATACATTCTTTGTATTTATGGACATATCTATTCACAAATAAACCATGTGTTATTAATTTTTATATTTAAAAATAGAAACCTTTCTATTTTAAAATCAAATAGATATTATTGTGTTTTTTAACTAAGATTTTAAGATTACCAGCAAAAATAGCTGGTAAAGTCTAAAGATTCTTAGGCATGTAGATGGTGATTGCACAGTTACTACACACAATTGTTCGCGGATCGCGTCGAGGTGCTGAACGCGGTTAATTAGGCGTCCATTGAGAAATGTTCACATTATATAGGAGGATACCCATTAGGCAGATATACTCATAGATACGCTTGTACAGGTTTTTTCAACTGTTCTTAAAAAAAATCTAAAAGTAATAATAAATCAATATTAGCGGCCGTATTATAATACACGTCTAGAAGGAGATTCTAAATTCCACTATATTTTATTTTTAACATTTCAATTAACTTCCATATAGTCAATATTTATGTTCATTAAACGTTAAATAAAATGAAAAAACTATTTCATTTTATTCCAAGTTAAAATGTAAATTATGGGTAAGTTGCTTTATCACAGATAAATAGCGTCTGAATGATAAAATATTATAATTATCATGATATTATATAACTACATTAACGTAATTTAAATTTCGTAAAAAGAAATAATTTATTAATGTTAGCACTATTATTAACTTAAAGATTAATATTCATGTTAATAGATAAATATCAACCTGTATATAAAACAAAAGCGCACTGTTCCCACACTGGCATATACAGGGTGTGCGCTCACGAACTAACCCAGTGCTGTATCGCGCGGAAGTGAAATAAATGCCGTTCTGTCACCTACGGCCTTTACACTGCTGTCCCGCATCGAGATCTTGACACTTCGAGTTCACTTCGAAAACAAATAGTAGGTTTTTAGCAAAGGGCGATTGTTCAATATAAACAAAATAATATTTTTGTTTATATTAAAAAATCGCCCTTTGAGTTTGAAATAACTTCTGAGGCGTCTCAGCAACGTCAGCAACGTTGCTGAGACGAATCAGAAGTTATTTCTTTGGGGAAATCTTAAAAACTAATTATGTACCTACCGTAAGATTTCATGCAACTATTAAGATCCAATCTAACACCTCGACTTTTCAAAGTCGGTTGAATATTCTCTCTATTTAGGAATAATTGGCAATAGAAGCATTTATACATTTTAGTAACAATAGAAAACAAAAACTATTTTGTTTTTTTTATTATTCGGAGTAGGTAAGCGGGTCTATTCTAAATGTATACTATTAGTTAAGTTCCATGTTTAGTCGTCAGAGAATTAAGTAATTAATTAGTTATGGTTTAGATTTCTAGCAAGAAAGGGTTGGTAGAGACTGCGGCCTTAATCCTTTTAGTATGTTGTAAACTTCCATTATTGTGGAACAAAACAATCCGTTACAATGAATGAACTCGTGTTCATTCTTAAAACGAAAAAATAAATCTTATTTAAAAATGGAATTAGAAGCCCGTACGGCCTTTTTTATTTCTTAGAAAATTAACAGTGACATTTTTCTGAATGTTATCAATAGGCATTGTTAACGTTTTCTCTTGTTTATGGTAACGGTAATTTTAAATTAAGAATTAATGGTAACCGATGGACTAACTTTAATAAAATTGCACATTCCAAATTTACTTTTTGCACTGAATTAACTTTTTTACCTTTCGGCATGTGAAATTATTTTAAATGAATATTAGAATTGCCATTCATAGTGTATATATTATTGAGGTTTTACTGTACGTATTGATCTATTTTACTATCTTTAACACTGCACTTATTTTCAAAAAGGTATAAACAAAGAATACAAAGATAAATATGTTACCATGTATGTAATTCATTTCATATTATTGAAATATACCTTTTTGAAAGTAAAAATAATTAATTACTAATAAATGTTTTTCTCAATTGTTGTAGATGTAGTCAATGCTTGTGGCGGTGAAGGTGATGGAGTAAGCACGATCCTACTACAGCGGTCTCTCTTACATGCTAGAGTAAGAATTCATTTTCTTTATTGACAACACAGTATAGTACACAATATGAAATGAATAAAAGTACTCAGTGTTTAGCATTAGAAGCTGCAGTCATGTGAAGCCCCATAATTTTTGCAATCTGTTTGATTGAAAATTAATTTTGAGATCATAAACATTTATTAAGGAGACCGCACAGAATAAGAATAATGATCGTGTTACATTTTATATACCCTACAAGCATTAATGTAGATTTTTTTGTGATTTAATATTTTGTTTCAAAGAAAACTAATATATTTTTTTATATCCAGACAAAGTTTGAATAAGATTCACTTGTGAGCCTTTGATTTACAAAAGAATAATTAAAATCGGTTAAAAAATTGGCGAATAAATCGCATGTGTAGGTTTTATACATACAATGGACCTACAGAACTTGCTTCTCTTTAAGTCAGTTGAGAAGTCATTATTGAACTTTGTAGCAAGTTTCCCTTTTAATTATATTTTGTTTGTTACAGAGAAATACATTACAATCCAACAAAGGAGACCATGTATTTAAGATGGTAATATTCACCATATCCGAGATCATTGTGACGTCAGTCATCAGTTCTAATTTAAAATAGGATGGTACACACATAACAGTATTCGTGCTTCATCATTAACACCGCCAGAATGGGATATTGCAATGTTTGATTTTATTGTTAGAATGTTGAACTCATAAGGTTGCAAAGATAAATTCTAAAATCAAAATTGAAATTAAGTTTTGTCTATGTGATATTGGATTTCTTTTGGAAAAAATAAGTCTCCTTGAATGTTGTAATGATGGTCATGGAAAATGTTGGTATGTGGAATAAATAAACAAATAAAAACATAATAAGTGATTGCATAGAATTTGTCATTATTTTTTATTATTTTTAATTAATACTAAGTACATCGATGGATATTATTACAGTTTTAATACTATTTGTTTATTTATTCCATTAAAATATTGGTTATAAAAGCTGAACATTCTGGTGATTTGTAAATAGTATTTATTAGGATAGTGATGGTAGCATTTAAACGGCTTAACTGCTTAGCTATATTTTAATGTAAAATAATATTTATATTATATTTAAAAATATTGTTATTACCTTATGATACGTAGAACGTATACAGTTCTAAGAAAATGATATACATTTTTTTGAGACGCGAACGTTTATAAGACCCTAACAAATAAGTTTCCAATAATTTTTATTTATTAATACCTGCCTAATAAGTTATATAATACATTCATTATATTGCTTAATTTAATGTATATTTTGAGGGTTGTTCCTAATTTGTAGTGCTATGGGTAGGGAAAAGGTTGATATAGTATTTGGAAGATGAATGCGTGACTCATTTCAACAATTATTATGTTAATATTAAAAATTAATAGCAAATAAAATAATAATAATAGTAATAGTAATAATTCCAAATAAATGATCCATTATGAATAGTGCCTTCCCTACAATACTGCATTTTATTATAACTAAGTGTAGTAATTTTAATGACATTAACATAATTACTGTTGACACGATAATTTGTTACATGAAAGATTTCGGTATCTAAATTTTTTTGCAAATTGATTATGATATTACTAATATGTTTCTGAATTATTTTACCATCTCCATTTTCTCCTATCGCAGTTTTAATTTTTCATTAAAGATGTATAATTTCCATAATGAAAAATACAATTTTCTTCTATAACTTTGCCATATTTCGATGTTGTTGCGAAATAAATGACAAGGTTTTCTAATAATTTACTTTAACTGTCTTTATACACGATATATAAATATTATATATTAACTGTCATATAAGACACCTAGTTACAACGCTTATCTCTAATTGTGCTTCAATAATTTTATTTAGTAATACTTAATATATTGTGACAATAACCAAATGACTATTTCTGGTTTATAAAAATAATAAATATACGATACTAAGTTTATTTCTATATCCATTGAAATTTTGAATTTGATGCTTTATACACGATATATAAATATTATATATTAACTGTCATATAAGACACCTAGTTACAACGCTTATCTCTAATTGTGCTTCAATAATTTTATTTAGTAATACTTAATATATTGTGACAATAACTGAATGCAGATTTGTTATTATATATTTTCTGTTTTTGTCTAGTTATTGTTACATAAAAAAATGACTATAAAACTGGAAAGTAATAAAATCAGATCAAAAATGTACTTATTTTTATGTGGTTGATTTGTTTTAGATCTAAGCTAGATTAATGATTTGATAACGATTCTTTTTGTTCCATACAAACTATGCTGGTTTATAAAAAGTTAAAATGGTAAAGGAACAATAAATAAATATACGATATTTCCATTAAGTTGTATCATAGTAAATGTTTTTTTTTGTAATTTAAATAAAAGGAGTTCTATAAAATAATTCTGTTATATCTCATTCCCACAATTTTGGAGATTTGATGCTGGAAAAAGTTATTTTGAAATTTCGAGGTGGACACGTCGTATTTAAAGATTATATTAAATTACAAAAAGAATGTCTAAAGACGAAAATATGAAATTGCCAATATTTTGTTAATCATTAACAATTTTTTACACAATCGATGGTCACTTTTTAGACAGTTATACAGAAATAATGAAAATTGCCCAATTGTTTTTTAAAATTGACATTTAATTGCAGGCATTGTCAGACTTTGATATAAAGATATACGAATCCATGAAGAAAAAGATGTACGTAACTACAAGGGAAAGAAAACCCAGTAACGAAAGAACATTACATTTGTTACGTCATGAATACGAAATAGTCAAAACATTGAGAAGCATAATCGAATGTTTCGTCTGGGGTAAGCAATTTTGGACCGTATCGCGTTGTATTTTGGACTTCTATGGCATTTACACCTCGTAATTACTATTCCAAGTATTCCTATCCCATTTTATTTTGTAGATTTTAATTTAGTAATACTTGTCTACGTTTTAAATGCCATGGAATCGATTGACACTGGGGGAAATAAGCATCAATGTCATGTCATCAATCATAAGCATCATGTTTCAAAAGCAATGGTTACAGAATGCTGATAGTAATTTATTCGCTCAGATCATATAGTTTTACCATCTCCTAATTATCGCATTTTGATAAGTGGAGAGTCTGAATGCAGATTTGTTATTATATATTTTCTGTTTTTGTCTAGTTATTGTTACAATGTATTAGGTTTTAGAAATAATAAAAAATAATGTCCAAAGTTTCATTGTGCCAATATAAGGGGGCAGAGACTTATTTAAGATTTTAATCTGTCGTTAGTTGTTGTCTGAAAATCCATATATTATTTTGATGTAGGTTTAGCTCAGGAGAGCACAGGAATGATGTATAATATAATATTTTGACTACAGTACATTATGTATGTATGTATTTTATTTCATTGTGTAGATCAATGGTAATAAATGATTGAACAATAATTTGTTTTTGTTTTAATGATCAAACCTCATTTCACTGTAACTTATTTTTATGTGGTTGATTTGTTTTAGTACGAAGAAAGAAGGAAAACAAGAAGGTTTTCTTAATTCCATAGAGAAGGGCATTATCCCACTTAGTACATTGCATATTGATCACTAGTATAATTATATTAATGATTTGATAACGATTCTTTTTGTTCCATACAGTTACTTAACTGAAACTAAACTTAAGTTAAAAAGTATTTAACTAATTCCCTAATTATTTTATCAACATAGAAAACATTAAATTTTTAGTAGATGAAATTTAAAGTATTTTATTTATATTAAAAAAATGAATGCTTGAACATTAGAAACAGCGCTTAGTACTTCATAAAATTTGGCATAAATATTAATTAGATAGGACAACATAACATTTATAGATATTTCATCATTTGATATATACATATATATATCAATATATTTATATCAAAAGGTTCATAATATCTTTATCGCTACATTCATAAGTTAGTGTATCGTGAAAACGGGTTTTAACCATTAAGTAACACAGAAGCTAGGGAAGCCTCATCCATGATGAGTCACATTCAAGTTATATTGCGAAATATTGTGTTAGCATGATCGATTGTTAAATCAATATAGTAAAAAAGGACACGTTGATCCCCTTCCATACAATTAATGATTAGGGTTATAGTGCTAGCCTTTGTTAAGGGTAATTTGGACTTAGTTTCATCTAAACTAATAGAAAGAGAAAACATTTTGGTTTTATTTTAGCGTTGGAAATAATAGAAATATATACTAACGATTTTATTAAAATTAAAATTTTTTACATGAAAAAGTAGTACAGTAGGTAGTGTAGGTGTAACATATTATAACCTATTATTTACTTAAATCACAGTAGAGATATATTCAATAATTGTATCAGTGTAATGTTAAATGATGAAAATAAATAAATGGTTTTTAATATACAAGTAAGGAGCTTAATAAGAGCCTAATTTCATATGAATTAAGCCTAGTTCTGATTAATTAATTATTTTAGGCGAGGGAATTTTGTTGGCAAAAAATTTACAAAAGAGTATCTACAGTATACAGTATATTCTACCTGCAACGAAAGCAGATTCATACTAAAGCAATCCGAATTTGGTCCAAGTATAAATTATGGGAACCATTGGAGACTGTAAATAAAAATATTTACGTCACAAGAAGTAATAAAGTTACAATCAATTCAGAGGCTAGCCGCGTCAGATTAGTCAGTTGAACAATCAAAATTGTTTTAATTTAGACACTTCTACTTACAAATACATATGAGATCAATTCGTCACGAATTGATTATAGTATATTGATGATTGAGCGTTAGTTGGTGTCGGAGCACTTGTTGATGACTAACCGGAGCCCCGCCGTCTGCTACCGCGTTACGCCGCTAAACCAGTTCTGCGCAAATGGCTCGATACGTGTATTAGTCAATTATATTACGTATATTAATTTCTCAGAACAATAAATATCTGAAGTGAAAACTCTGAGAATACTACGTAACGTATGAGTACCAACAGTACAATATATTGGGTTAGGTTAATTTTTTAATTATCAACGTCGAAAAGTTCTTAACATAGTGATGACATAAAAAATAGATTTACAAGTTTTGGTATTAATTAAGAATTCTTAGTATTTTGAGGTAATTTCAAATATTTACTGGAAATTACGATAAAAAAAGAGTGTATTCGTCTGCATCTTCGTTTTATTAACAACTCCTCAGTTGATACAGATGAGATTGCCAAAATATTGGCAGTCACTTTTACAAGAGATCACATGGTTTTGAGTTTGTATTTATTAACTATACAGTGATAATATCTGAATATATTAAATTTTGAACTATTTTTAGTTATAGTTGCTATCCAGTTCCTTCTTAATCTTTCAATTTCATATTAAAATGTAGATATAAGATATTTAAGTATAAATTGTCTTTTCCTTATTCATTAGTTTGAGTATGTAATGTACAAATAGATAAACTATCTACATAAATTCGACTAATATTAATGATGTTTCTCGACTACCTACTACAGGCAAGTATATCATCTAGTTTAAGTAGGTCTTCAAAGTTAAGGACAGTGATTACCACATCTATTATGATATGCGGATACGGATCTATCCACGAGGGATCCGTGGTTACGACGAGCGTGAGTCATTCGGTCGTTTCGCGAGGGATATCGGCCATCTGAGATGTTATCTGCAGGTCGGGTCGCCCAACGGAAGCACAGCGCGGCGAGAAAGCTGAATTTTTATACTGTAACTCACATCACAATGGTGTTCCCACGGCATAGTTTCGATACAAGTAGAGGGGATTGAAGATGATGTAAAAAGGATTTGCAAGTCATTTGTTCAAATGTCATTTTATTTATGATTACGAATGATCATGAGGACTAAACTATTATTTTCAAGAGGAAAAACTATAAGATTTTAATCATATTAAACAGATATAAGTTTGACGACCTCGGTGGTATAGCGGTCTAGCACACCGCTTTACGTCCGATGGTCGCGGGTTCGATTCCTCGCACGGCACAAATATTTGTATTCATGAGTATGATTGTTTGTATCGGTCTGGGTGTTTTCCATGTATAATATGTATTTACGAAAAAAAATATCTATGTATTTGTATCAGTTATCTAGTACCCATAACACAAGCTTTAGGTAGCTTATCTGGGTCTAGATGGCGCTGTGTGAATTGTCCTGAGATAAAAAAAAAAAAAAAGTTTGTATACTATAGAAGGGATTGCATTAGAAATTAGAAATAAGGTTTTATTGCTTAAGATCATTAGCTATAAGATCACTTTATGTGCATAATTTTATTTTTAATGTTTTAATTTTGTTCATGTCCTTTCTATGTTAGTGCAACAAAGTGTTATGAAAAAATGAATCTCTATATGCTCTGTGGTTCATTGGGAGAAAATGCCTCAAGGTATTAACTCCGCCATGTACACCTTATTTGTT